ATAGATATAGATATAGATATAGATATAGATATATATAATCGTAGACAGTTTAAATGATTCATGCACGATATTGTCTTTAGTAAAGTATATATATATATATATATATATAATCGTCGACAATTCAAATGATTCATACACGATATCGCTTTAGAAAGCTTAGAATAAAGTCAGTTTACCTAGTAAAGTCCGCACAAAGCAATTCAGTATTCATCAGCCTGTATTGAATACATATACGCGTTGCTTGAGTTTTACTTCATCGAACACCTACAATACTCCTTCACAACTATACTGAATTAGATATCTTCTGCGGTAGCAGGTGACGATACGTCTGATGTTTCACTTTCACTCGATGCCGATCCGCTCTCGGCAAATGCGGCTTCCCAATCATCAGGTATTTCGTTAGCATCTTGTATTTCTGCGACCACTTCCCGGGGCGCCTTCTCCAATATATCGAACCGCTATATAATTTGTCAATTTCACAATAGTAAGTTAATAAAGTTAATAAAAACATATATGTATATACATATATACAGATATATATATATATACATATATACATATATGATTATATATAAAAATTTAAAGTGAACATTAAACTTCAGTAGAGCATGTATCCGTCGATATCTACAAAAAGCCCTTCAGTCAACTGAGATAAAATGATATGATGTTTTAGTGTTGATCGTGGGTGCTCGGCCGACAAAACAGAACACATGCACAAGCCAAAGCACACTCGCAGACAGAAAATCTACTCTATCCCTAATCCTGACCACTGTAAAACTTACACCAGCATTCAACTTAAGAATTCAGCTACCAAACAGACTTACAGCTACAAATGAACAAGTATGATACAAAACCACACCACAGTGCTAGAGTAGTAGTTGATCAATCGCGACCAGTACTCAGCACAGAAACACAGGGAAGTACATATCGGTCAAACGAGATATACTACGCATCAACAACGTATATAAACGTATAAACATTCATTATACTATATTGCATTCACGTGTGCATACGAATAGAAAGTATCAAAATGACAATGTTTGAGCTGTCCTACATTTTCGTTGGTAGGGGTCGGTTTGATTGGCTTAGAGACCTTTGCCTTGCTTTTGGTCAAAGCTACCCATCCGTTAGCATCGGGCGTCAACTTCGAAGGACCAGACCCTGCGACGAACAATGGAGTATGGTGTCAGAGGTTGGGTATATTTGTGATATATATATATATATACATATACATATACATATAAATATACATATACATATATATGTATATACATATATATATATATATATATATATATATATATATATATATATATATATATATATATATATATATATATAGTAGTAGTACGTAGTACG